AAAATTTTGAAAGATATTTGAACACTAGTGTTAATCAAGGTTTCACTCTCCATTTGTTTCTGGAGCCATTTAGATACATATTCTCCCACCCTCAACTGCATTGTCTGATTGCTCCTCCCTAAGTATGTGTGACCACACACACACACACATGTAACTTGGTAAACACAGTGGGATGTGACGTAATCAGTGATGTAATATATTTAAGTTTGTGGCGATGGATGTGTTTTGTTGTTCTACGGTGATAAGATTAGCTGCGAAATATATTTTCTTAATGGCTGATGATAGCCAACGTCTGAAAACTATACTATTCAACTACCCAATGTATGATATGGACCCTATTCGTAGGTAGGCTAACGTCAGCCATTAAGAAAACATATTACGCAGCTGAACTTATCGCTGCGCCTAAAATATGCTTCGCCATAAACTTAAACATACTACATCACTGATTACGTAACATCTCGTTGTGTCTACCAAGTTACAGGTGTGTGTGTGTGTGTGGTCACACATAATTAGGAAGGAGCAATCAGGCCATGCAGTTGAGGGTGGGAGAACATGTACCTGAATAGCTTCGAAAAGAAATGAAGTGTGGAGCCTTGATAAATTCCACATTCGATTTCTTTATTTGATTGATAACACAGTGTAATACAGTATTATTTACTTGATTACGAGGTTCCCAGCAGAAATTATCACTCCTCATAATCATATCAATGTCATCATACCACTTTCAACATCACATTTTTAGGGTACCGTCACCTCTTCTTCTTTGTTTTGATTGATCGTAAAATTTTCCATATCTCCGGTATAGGTGTTGACTCATTCCTATTACACATGTTGGGAGTTGGTTGATTCGATGAACAAAGATTCAGTAATCAATATCTCTCTCTCTCTCTCTCCAACTGATTATACTACACTTAATTAAATACAGTGGTATGATCCCACCCAATTGTGTAATCGTGTATTCATGCACACATGCATTGCAATAGTCAACTTACTTTCTAGATTATTCATCGTATTCACGTCTATCATTCTGTAGTCGACTAAACTCATATACTCTCTTAATCTTAATGATCCCAATCAGCTAGTTTCACCTATGTAATTGACTTCACAATCATTACATGGAATTCGACAGATTAGATTATTTCGCTCAATTCCATTGATCGGATCCTTAAGCCGACAAAGCTTATCACTGAGTGAATTTCTAGGTTTACATGTCACCACAATTCCACATTTGTTGAGAATCAGTCTTACATAAACTTTCTCATCTACCTTCCTTATGTGGTAACATAATGGAGGCTATGAACTCCATTCACCTCGTCTTGTCATTATTGTCATTATTCGTACTCGTGTTACTTGTATGATTTCGTCTCCTCTGTGTTCGTATGAATTTTTCGATAAACAGTGGAGGAAAATTATTAACTATGAGTGCTTGTTTTAGGTGTTTCAGTTTCCTGTTTAGGTCTTTGTACTAACAAGTCAGTTGTTCAGCTCTATCATTTAGAGATTTGACTAAACCTGGCTTCACTGACTGACATTGGATGAGGTGACTTGAAGTCTAGATGCCTAATGGAATGTGTTGGTTTTGTGCATCGAAACCACCGACGTCTGTCCTTCGTTTTATCCTGCAATCCAACATAGGTAATTCTCCTTGTTCACTTTTTACCTTGTAAGTGAATTCGATTGTGTCCACTACCTCGACTACTACTACTACTACTACTACTACTACTACTACTACTGCTACTACTACTACTACTACTACTACTACTACTACTACTACTACTACTACTCACACTACTACTACTACTACTCACACTACTACTACTACTACTACTACTACTCACACTAATACTACTACTACTACTCACACTAATACTACTACTACTACTACTACCCACACTACTACTACTACTACTACTCACACTACTACTACTACTACTGAGTTTCAATGCATGAGGAAACTGTCGATATTTTCCGATTTCAAGACAGTGGCAAATCTGTCATCCACCATATCTTAGGTGCAGGATTACATATTTGTTATGCCATATTTTCCCATCTATCCATAAATATATCTGGTAGGATTTGGGATATTGGTGATCCCACTACTACTAACCCTTCTGTTCATCTTGTTAAACGTTAGTGGGAGACGATCCTCTTCATCTATAGCGAAATGTATTGTAGAAATAGATCACAAAATTCATTTTCCAATAGTTTTCAAAGCTTTCATAAAGAAACAGTCAGGGAAGTATACTGAGATTTGTGGAAGCGATAGCCAGACATAAAATGAAACCACCTCTATGTATACAAAGCAATTTGTTCTTTCACTACACCCACCTTCATTAACTTTGTTCTCCTACCAAGATCATGATCAACTATTTCATTTTTGTTCTCATCTTTCTTAATTTGAATCTCCTAATACCTTGACTTGTGTATTTCTCCTCTGGTTTAATGTATATTGACTTGACGAGTGAATGTGTGATCGAGCGGATTGTTCGGAGTGAATTGCGCTAACACATCAATCATATTGTTGGGATAAACTTCGTCTTCTAATTTCAATTTGTGTATGGCCGTGGCTTCGACAGATCTCGGAATACTGTCGCTGACTGTTTCTATATAAAACTTTGAAAGTTGTTTGAATATTAATTTTGTGACCTGTTTCCATAATATGTTTCATCTCCCAGCAGCATTTATCAAGGTTTCACACTCCATTTGCTTTTGAAGCCATTTAGGTACACGTGCACCCACCGTCGACTGCATGCATCGATTACTCCTCCCTATGTATGAGTGACCACACACTCACACACACACACACACACACACACATGTAAATTGGCAAACGCAACGGGATGTTGCGTAATCATTGGTGCAGTGTGTTCACGTTTGTGGTGAATCACGTGTTTTGTTTTTCCCACAATGATAGGATTAGCTGTATAGTATGCTTTCTTAATGGGTAATGTAAGCCAACTTCTCAAGATTACACTACTCAACTCTCCACCGTATAGTAGAGTAATATGGACGCTTTTCTTAGGAAGTATGTACAGAGTTGGCTTCGGTGCTACCTGATTTCTGCAACAGTCTACAAACTTCAGCAGATATCCATTTTCCATTGTGTTTTGGTTAGTAATTTGATGTCTTCATCCATGGTATCTCATGTACAAATACGATAGTTTCGATTAAATAGACATTTTACTAGGCCACACTTGTATTGGATTACCCTCACACTCTTCGTTTTAATATATATTGACTTGATGAATAGATGTATGATCGAGCAGATCGTTCGAAATGAATTACAGTAATACATCAATCACATTGTTTAGACAAACTTCGTCTTGTAATCACACTATCGAAATTCATAAAAAGGACTCATTGTCTCTAATTATCTGCTGTCAACGGTCCAACTGTTTCAGTTTATCTTAGCCTTAAAGAGTTACTCAAGCATGGAGGTAGGATTAAAGGAGATGTGAGTGATAACAGAAAATCATTTTCTGAGCAATCCTAACAAGTGTAACTCGGAATGGACTGAAAGAAAAATCTCAAAATGATATGTATCAGTAAGGTCTTTGAAATAATCTGCAGTTATTTATTTTAACTAAACGGCAGACGCTCGTCGACGTATATCAACCATTGGTTGATGGGAAATCCTTACTTAACACTGAAGAGCCGTTTCGTTTGTTTCGGGTCAAGCCAGTTCCTCAGGCGTGCACCCATTGTAATTTAGCTCATAGGACCGAATTAGTTCAGATCACCGAAATCCAAATGCCTGGCTGACTTTTATGAACCATCATGCTCAAAACAGGATGATCAGTTTACAAATGATTTATAAATTGTACGCTCCATCTTGAACTTTTTCATAACAAAGTAGATTTTCCAACTGTCCAAATTTGGTGTATTTCATAATTGATTTTATCTTGTTAAACTTATGCTATAAGTTGTCTGATAATCTACTTGGTTGTGGCAAGCAGAAAAATTCAGGATGTGCTTTTCGTCCTATTTCGTACTCGTCAGCTGGATGTACCTACACTGCAGTGAATGATGTTTTCCCTAATGAGACACAAATCAATGTACCCATTGCTTCAGACTCCAAGTCTTTATCAACTAAGCCACTTCTTGTATAACTTATATAAGATGATACATCTTCATTTCATCCTCAATCATCAACCAGTTTCATTTACTATTATAACTTACATCTGTATTAAGACACTGGATATGATTACAGTACAGTTGGAGTTGAACATGTACACGTAATCAACAATTTTATCTGATCAAATAAGGCAACGTTGTGTCCAGCATTGAGTCAAGAATCGAATGTGGAGTCAGCTGTAGTGCATATGCGATTAAATGTTGCGCTACTGTTTTGGTTAGGGAAATGTAGGGGGAACAGTCAGTGTGTGGGTTCGAATGTCTGGCCATTTGTAAAATCTCATAGTTGGATATATATGTCAAATATGAGGCCAAATGCCAGGTCAAAGTACATCGTACCAGAAATAGGGAATATATTGCAAAACTCGATGACTCGCCCTACAACTGGCTTGATGTTCTCTATAGTAATTGGCCCAACATTACCCTATTTGGCCAGACGAAAAGAAGATTTGTTTCCAGTACTTATAAATTTAGCCTGAGTTTTATGATTACCACACCGAAAATTGTGTTCATATTGTGTGAATATTCAGTAAATTTATATGTGCTAAATACGCATGTTTACTGATATTCACCCCAGAACTTTCCAATTGGTCAATTCCCAGTGATAAAAGGAACCAATCAGATGAAAAGTTGAAATATTTTTTTATGCCGTATGTGAATCATTCTAAATTACTTTTCCAGTGCTAAGCATCAACTACTGCTACTGAAGGAATATTTTTACGAATAAACTAATCATTATACGCATATATATATATATATGTGACTTAGAAAAATAAATCCATTAAAGGCATTTACATTTACATATAACAACAGATTAACTTATGGTTGAATAACGGACTCAGCAGATAATTCAATCGACATTGAACATGATCATAAATTGTCCATTGAAAGTTGATAAATTGTGTTATACAGTCACATTTCTACTTGTTGTCATCAACATTATCAAACCAATTATCAGTGAACAAGGTAAGTGAATTTGTCTACTGGTAGACAAGTGAAATATCTTTTTTGACATATTCTTCATTTGTTGTTTGATTTATTACTTCAATAAGACTTTCTACAATATTGTAGTCTACTTAATGGCTAGAGAAGGTAATGCAGGATGTGTGTTCCATTGAACTTGGGATTCGTCAGCTGGATGTACCTGCACCCCAGTGAGTTATGTTGTTCCCATAGACGCTTGAAACTCGTACGTACTACTTCAAGTACTAAAGCATTTTCATAAAGCTACTGGGGTACAAGAGCCACCTCTTCTCTTATGCAATGGGTATCAATTGTTGGCCTCATAGTAACTTTCCTTTGGCATTATTCCTTTTCTTCCTTAATGCCTATACATTATTATCATTACTATTTGTCCCTCGCATTCCTGGTGGAACACAGGATATCTGTAGCACATCGCCATATCACTCTCTTCTCCGCACTCCTCAACCTGGCTCCACTACTGCCCATATCCTTCCACTCCTTCCTCACACCATCTCCTCCATATCACCCTCACATAGGATGCACAACTCTTCGTTTCCCATACAGGTTCCACCCAACGACCTGGCCTAGCCTGATGCATGATGTCCACAAACCGTCTTATCAATCTAGGTTTAATACAATACAATACAATCTAATCCAAACCAAACCAAACCATATCCACTTTCCTCCTCCACATATTTGTTAGGCCATAGGTTCTTGGTCGGTTGGTTCGTTGTCAGGTCACAGTGAGTTCCTTGTTGCTCATTCTTCTCATTATATTCTCGCCATCCATCTGATCGATATTCAGTATGTAGTGAGTGTATGTGGTAGTTGTTCATGTGATGTATGTGAGCAGTTTGTTGGATATGCTTTTGGTGACGCTCCGCCATGTCTGTCAACCATCACACAACCATCACGCATTGACTTACTTGACTTGACTGAATTAGTGTTGAAAATATAGATGTTGTTGACGTTTTATGCTGAGTGTAGTGCAGTGCAGTGCAGTGGAGTGGAGTGCAGTGCAGTGCAGTAGATTTTCACACTGATTATTTCGGATGAGTGCAGGAAGGCGTGTCTTGCTGTCTTTCCGATCCTGGCTGACTTTGACATCCTCATCTGTGCTAGTTGTGCTTGTAGTTGAGCTTATGATGTCTAGGTGTGTAGTTAGGATGTTAGGTGATGGAGACTACTTCATTTAGATTACTCTCGTTGATGGTGATTGGTTGTTGTTGTTGTTTGTTAGGTATCTTCATCACCTCTATCTTCTCTGCGTTCACTTGAAGTCGCATCTTCGCTGCCCTGCCTGTTCTGTCAACTTGTTGGTTTTTTGTTGTAGATCTTTGTGTTTGTGCGACAAGACGTTAGACAGAAACCATCATCGCCGAAATACAAATCTTCTATATATTGTTGGAAACTAGTTTACAAAAGCTTTTCATCGTATTATTTCCTTGTTATCTTGTATATAATTTAGTGCGAAGTTTTTTAAACTGCATACTCCATCAGTTAAAATGTTTGGTGAAACCTTTTTACAAAAGTTATACAGTCAGTTCTACCGTGTATTAGTTTAGTCAATAAACCTGTCATAAATCTGGTTTCAAAATGACTGTATGATCAGTCATTGTACAATTCATTTAAAAAATGAATTATATTTTAACTGGATGTGGACAATAACTAAAGGTAATATATGAACTTTGTTAATTCAAGCTTTCATATATATAAGATGGATGTACTTGATTAGGCTTATATTCTCTAAGATACTAAGGAGTAAAAACTGTAGACACTTTTTACTTGGATATTTTGCATTCTCATCGACATTATATTGATACGCAACATTCTCTTAGAAGTGATATAAAATTCCAACTTAAATCTTACTAACTTAGGTAATTTTTGGTTTTACTAAGATGCTGTATAGACAACCAATCCTATCAGATACATGAGAATTTTATGCACATATATTTGGTTCTACACCATGTGACGCATAATCAGACAGTCGAATGGTTGAAGGATATTCGGAATATAATAGTTGGTGAGTTAGATACATATATATTACCTAAAATCTTTGAACTGACCAATATTTATGAGTTGTCTCAAAGTGGAATAGTTGGAGTTGGTGCGATTATAAATATGTGAGCACATTCTCTATTTCTATGTGTATTTTACTCATTGCATTTCAGATAAAAGTTTCATGTGCTGTGAGATTAATGAGGATTTTATTTTAAGACAGTGTTTATCATAGACTGATAGCTGTTGAAGAACCATTGAAAACCCGGACAGATGTTTCGTTCTAGTATGAGACTCCTCAACTGGCGTCAGTTCATAATGAATACTACTTGGAAAGTAGAATCTCCACTAATGTCAAACTGCCTTGGTGTATAGTGCTCATTAGTGATGTATTTCAAGATGGAAATTCCGAGGTCCTAATGAGCAGCTATTACCTGTGAGGTCAACCTGTAGATGCCAACTAAAGATCTTGGCAAATAGACGCGCTATATTGAGAATTGCTAGAAGTAGGAAACTTTAGACCATTGAACTCCGACTCAGTGACTGAATGACTAACGCATTAGCCTTGAAATTCGAAAATGCTTAGTTAGTACACATATCAACTATTATTATTTATGGATATGCTTGTAGTTCTTCTTTGTTTTACTGGATCAAACTGTTCGACCTCTATTGGCATATATTGGCTCCTATGTGGATGCCTCGATATTGCCTGAATATTAATTATGGTAATTTATTTGCTTGTGGCTAACAGATGAATATAGGATGTGCATTTCGTCCTGTTCGGAAATCATTTATCAGATGGATGTACCTGCACTACCAGTGAGTAATGTTGTTCCTTCGGGACTCGAACATCCTACAGATCGGTTGAAATGTCAAGACCGTGGGAACAACATCACTTACTGAGGTACAAGTACATCCAGCTGACGGGCCCGAAATAGGTGAAACGTGCGTCCTGGATTCATCAGCTAGTCACAGCTATGTTAATTACCACATACATCAACTGTTAAAAGTGAAATTAATGTATCTTTAAAGAATTCTATTTTGTTCTATTATTATTATTCGTCCCCTGAGTTCCTAATGGAACATACTCCTTCAGTAGTACGTCTACATTCCACTCTCTTCTCTACAAACATTTCTACCTGGCTCCACCACTGTCCACAACCTCTCATTTCTTCCTCACACCATCAACTCCATCTCACCCTCACCTCGCCTCACCTCGCCTCACCTCGGACACCCAACTCATCGTTTCCCATCTGAGTTCCACTCAAGCAACCTCCATGGCCTGGCCTGGCCTGCACTGGCCTGACGCGTGATGTCCTCAGTCGGCCTTCTCAGTGTATGCCCAATCCATCTCCATCTACACTTCCTTCCAGTGTATATTTGTTGAGTGATAACTTGTTGGTTGGTTCGTTGCCTGCCACACCACAGTTCCTTATTGCTGATTCTCATTATTCTGGCAATCTATCTGAGCTTCAGTAATGAGCCAGTGTAGGTGGCAGTTGTTGATGAATGTCTGTAGTTTGTTGGAAACCTCTTTCGTAACGTGTAAGGTCTCTGAACATATAGAAGCACTGACTTGACATTGGTGTTGAAAATCCGGATCTTGTTCATGCTTCATTCTGAGTGCGGCAGATCTCCACAGTGGTTTCAGATTAATGCACGGTGGCCTGTCTTGCTGGCTTTCAGATCCTGGCCGCTTTGACATCCTCGTCTATGCCTGTGCCGCCTGTAGTTGAACCGATGCTGCCCAGCCTAGTTAGGTGAAAGAGGCAACTTCCTTTAAGCTTCTCCCATTCATGGTGATTGCAGCTTGTTGGTGGTGTTTGTTGGTTGGGTATCATCATCACCTCCGTCTTCTCTACGTTCACTTGAAGTCCTGTCTTCGCTGCCTCGCCTCTTCTGTCAACTTGTCCGTTTTCGCCTGTAGATCTTCCAGTTCGTGCTATATTGGACACAAGTCATCATTGGCGAAATCCAAATCTTCTAGGATCTTTTCATCGGTTCAGCCAGCATATCCGCCTCTTCTTGCTCCTCACAGTTGTCTGCTGCATGATCCAGTCCACTACAATCAGGGAGATCATGGATGATAGTAGACAGCCTTGTCTTACTCCTGTCTCCACTTTACATCAAATGCATCACCTAGCTTCTCATTGTGAATTACTTGGTATGTGACGTCTTCTTTTGTTCTATTATATCACGTATATTTAACTAGGACGGTACATGGTTCAAGCTTCATACTATACATAAATGTTAGAAGACTTAAGTGGAATTAGGAGTCAATCAAATATTTATGGTAGTCTGTTGACTATATGTACATTGGAATTACAATTAATACTTCAACTTTAAAATCCCCCAAGAAAATTTCTTCAAAGATTTTTATCACCTATCGTAAAAGTTGACTTTACGCCGATAACAATACAAACTTTAAAGAAATAAATCTGTTCATAAGTAGAACTATACACATTAAAAGTACATTTTGAAAAAAAAACAACTATAAAATGGTAATAATATAAATCTTTCTGAAAATAAGAAGAAAAAACACATTAATTCCTTCAGTATGTGGGGAACAAAACAAAGAAATTCGTTATTTCATCTTCACAGTTTTATTCCTTACAGTCATGTCTATATCACTTCCAAACATTTTTTTTTCTCATTTACTGTCTATTAGTTTGACAAATCTCAGATATCAGTAGTCAGAAGTTGGGTTTTATAGCTCAGTTAGTAGGTCTCAACCCGATATTTCCTGATTTGAAAGCTTCAGTCGGTCAAATTTTTAGTTCACCTTCAATCATCAATCAGTTTCATTTACTATTATAACTTACATCTGTATTAAGACACTGGATATGATTACAGTACAGTTGGAGTTGAACATGTACACGTAATCAACAATTTTATCTGATCAAATAAGGCAACGTTGTGTCCAGCATTGAGTCAAGAATCGAATGTGGAGTCAGCTGTAGTGCGTATGCGATTAAATGTTGCGCTACTGTTTTGGTTAGGGGAAA